ATCAGCAGTGCGCATCCACTACGGAGAATCGAACCCGGGCCATTTCGATACAACGCATGCGTCATACTAATTTTACGGATAACCTCGGAACAGTGTCCCAAGAACCAGGTTTGTGTATTGACATTTAGCCGCCGACAATTTTTTTTATAGTTGGTAATATCTTTTTTTTTTTCTAAAAACGTATTGCTGCTAATAATTTTTACAAAGTATTTCTGGTATGTATTAAAACCTATTTTTACACTTTCATTGACCCCAGTTTGGGTGTCAACTATTTGCCCATAGCTGGGACCCTAACAGGTGTTACCACCTCGGGTCAGGATGGACCTGGGAACATCAACAATTAAGAGGTGGTTCCACGCTCCTCAAAACCTCCTGATCAGAGGCCTTGCTCTTGGATATAGTTCATCGTCTTACCCAGCACGCGGATGTCGTTTACCGTCATACCCAGGACGGCGCCCAAGGTAAAGGGTTATTGAAGTAGGTCGATGTAAGGGCGTACAAGGAGAGAGTATCACGCGCTTACTATGAGGCTAGGTACAATTGATAACCGATGACACTCGACTTGAAGAGGTTAAGATTGTAGAAATCACGGAGACATTCTCTTGGGAGTCTGTTCCGTGTAATTCCATATCAAATCATCTTGAAAATGGAAAATTTTCACCGTTAGCACACTTATTATTTTTCTAGATGTGAATATTCCTCGTGAGATTGTTTTTTTCTCTACTGTTCTACCGTTTAGTATTTTATGAACATTTGACCTAATAAAAGTCTTAAAAAGACTAAGATATGAAAATAGTGTTACTTTAGTTACTCATCCATCTTGTTTTACTGAAAAATCCATTGTTATTGGTCATCGTTGGAGTTTATTCCGGAGATTAAGTAACTGTAGCTGCATATTAAGATGGTAACAATGTACCAGGAACAAGAAGCAGCCAACATTTTATTCCACTGTCATCTTCACAAATTGGACATAAACTCTTTAGTGAAGATGATCCATTTGTTAATGTCCATTTGTTAATTGGACTTACTTGGTGTGTATTCTAGAAGTATAACGTCTGTATACAAATTGCCGGAAAATGCTCATTTTCGATTGTTAATTGAGGACTAATAATGAGAGAGCAAGACTTCAATTTCGATTCTATTCATGATTGTAGTACAGAGAACACTTTAAAAAAATAAATTTTTATTTACCTATAGTGCCACGTCATTTTTTCGAGATATTTGCCACATTTACTCAAATTGTTGTATAGCTCAAAAATATTTGTTTTCTAGGTATTTTGATGTCATTTTGCGATTCCGAGCCCTCAAAAAAATTCTGTACAATTTTTCATGGTTCTACAATGTCTGGATGTAATTTTATTGAAGAAAAAGGAATTTTGTAGCATCTTTTTTATAGGGATCGTCGACACATCTTCTTTTTAGGGACCAGGGAAGCATTCTTATTTTAGGGATCAGGGAAGCATCTTTTTAGAGATCAGGGAAACATTTTTATTTTAGGGATCAGGGAAGAGTCTTTTTAGAGATCAGGGAAGCATCTTTTTTTAAGGACCAGTGAAGCATTTTATTTTAGGGATCAGGGAAGCATTTTCTTTTTAGAGATCAGGGAAGCATCTTCTTTTTAAGGACCAGTGAAGCATCTTCTTTGTAGGGATCAGGGAAGTATCTTCGTTTGAAGGAAGAGTGAAGCATCTTCTTTTTAGGGATCAGGGAAGCATCTTATTTTTAGAGATCATGTAAGCATCGTCTCTTTAAGGACCATGAAGCATATTCTTTTTAGAGATCAGGGAAGCATCTTCTTTTTAAGGACCAGTGAAGCATATTATTTTTAGAGATAAGGGGAGCATTTTTTTTTAGTGATCAGGAAAGCATCTTCTTTTTAGAGATCAGGGAAGCATCTTCCTATAAGAACCAGTGAAGCATCTTCTTTTTAGGGATCAGGGAAGCGTATTCTTTTTAAGGACCAGTGAAGCATATTTTTTTAGAAATCAGGGAAGCATCTTCTTCTTAGGGATCAGGATAGCATTTTCTTTTTTAGGGATCAGGGAAGCACCTTCTTTTTAGAGATCAGGGAAGCATCTTCTTTTTAAGGACCAGTGAAGCATCTTCTCTTTAAGGACCAATGAAGCAAATTTCTTTTGAAGATCAGGGAAGCATTTTCTTTTTAGAGATCAGGGAAGCATCTTCTTGTTAGAGATCAGGGAAGTTCTTCTTTTAAGAGTCCAGGGAAGCATCTTCTTTTTAGGAATGAGGGAAGCATCATTTTTAGAGATCAGGGAAGCATATTCTTTTGACGGATGAGGGAAGCATCTTCTTTTTAGAGATCATGGAAGCATTTTCATTTTAGAGATCAGGGAAGCATTTTCATTTTAGGGACCAGGGAAGCATTTTCTTTTTAAGGACCAGTGAAGCATTTGTTTTAGAGATAAGGGGAGCGTCTTCTTTTTAGAGATCAGGAAAGCATCATCTTTTTAGGGATCAGGGAAGCATCATCTTTTTAGGGATCAGGGAAGCATCTTCTTTTCAGAGATCAGGGAAGCATCTTCTTGTAGAGATCATGGAAGAATCTTCTTTTTAGGGATCAGGGAAGCATCTGCTTTTGACGGATCAGGGAAGCTTTTTTTTTTAGAGATCAGTGAAGCATCTTCTTTTGAGGAATGGGGGAAGCATCTTCTTGTAGAGATCATGGAAGCATCTTCTTTTTAGGGATCAGGGAAGCATCTTCTTTTGCGGGATCAAGGAAGCATATTTTTTAGAGATCGGGGAAGCATCTTCTTTTTAGAGATCACGGAAGCCTCTTCTTGGCAGTCTGTTCTACATAGGAAAGCTTCTCAGGAAGAAGGTGTCTAAATGTAAGTTTTTTCTTATCAACAAAATACAAAGGGATGAGGACGACTCGAGGGCGGGATTACAGTTCTACCTGTGAAGGTCTCAACTGGTGGTAATAAGAACAACTCCCTTGAAAATAGTGATAGATTAGTGAGAGACTAGTAACATTTCATTTTTGGGAAAGGGGTGGTAGCTTGGAAGATAATTAATTCATAATTCGTTGTTATATAAAGATCTTATTTGAAAGGAATTCTAATTGTTCGGTTAATTTATATTAAAATTGAAATTACAAACAATTCTAATTAATCATGAGTGTTTTAAATATTTTTCTGATGTAAGTCCGGCTAAATAATTTGGAACTCAGTCTTGGCTGGAATATGAAGATTGAGATGATCCGGCGCAGATTTTGCAGCAATAAAACATTTTTGGTTTAATCTGACTTTTATCAAAGAGCATGGCAGGGTGGGTGTAATCATTTCATTTTTTTGATTAACAAGCCGAACTAAAATCTACCCAGATGGATAGATGAGTGAAACGTGAGAAATAAATATGATAGATAGATAGATAGATAGATAGATAGATAGATAGATAGATAGATAGATAGATATAAACAAAGATAGAAAGGAATGAGATTAGATAAAGATGGACAGAGAGACAGATGAACAAACTGAGATAGATATATAGATAGATAGATACATAGAAAGACAGACAAACAGATAGATAGATAGATAGATAGATAGATAGATAGATAGATAGATAGATAGATAGATAGATAGATATGAACAGACTAAGATGGAAAGGAATGAGATTAGATAAAGATGACAGACAGAGAGACAGATAAACAGACTGGGATAGATATATAGATAGATAGATACATAGAAAGACAGACAGACAGATAGATAGATAGATAGATAGATAGATAGATGATAGAACAGACTAGATGGAAAGGAATGAGATTAGATAAAGATGACAGACAGACAGATAAACAGATTGGGATAGATATATAGATAGATAGATACATAGAATAGATAATAGATAGATAGATGAATGATAGATCATGTATAGGAATGAAAAAGATAGAGATGGTCATAGAGAGAGAGAGAGAGAGAGAGAGAGATGAACAAACTAAGATAGATAGGTAGATATGAATAGACCGATACATATTGAAAGAGGATAATACATAGCTAGATGGATAGATAAATAGAGAGAGAGAGAGAGAGAGAGAAAGAGAGAGAGAGAGAAAACGAGAGATAGAGTGCGAGATAAACAAATTGAAATAGATAGAAATGAAAAATAGACACCTAGAGTATAAACAGATATACAGATTAATGTGAAAAGAAATAGACAGATCGATGCATATTAACACACTGAGAAAGATAAGAACGAGAAAATAGATAGCGAGAAAAATAGATATACCGAGAGATGAAAAAATGTGAAATAGACGTGAAAAGAAATAGAGAATAAAAACAAGGTGTGCACTTTAAAACATTTATAATTTGTATTTGCGATAGAAATAATTTGTATCAAGGATTAGAAAGAAGTAAATCTATATTTTTTTAATGTTTTATTGAAATTTTATTTAAGTTTCCACATGTCCTCCATCATTAGCAATACAAAGGATAATAGGATTTTGCAGTTCACAGAAAACATTTGCCAACTGATTTACAGTAATGACTGAAATCACATTAGTTATTTTAGCTATACTTAAAACTAAGTACATTAAACTTTATAACATTTTTTACAGATTATTTCTATCGCAAATACAAATAAAGTTATACGTTTTAAAGTGTACACGAACTTTATGGACACCCTGTATAGATAGATAGATAGATAGATAGATAGATAGATAGATAGATAGACCAAAAGAGACAGAGATAGTGAGTGAGGCAGGATGACAGCCAGAAATGAACTGCCTGAAATACATAGATAGATAGATAGATAGATAGATATGGACAGATATTAATAGATAATGAATAAAATGAGATAGATAGATAGATAGATAGATAGATAGATAGATAGATCGTGGCAGCAGGAGTCAGCAGCTATGTAGTCATTTATAATCTCCCACAAAGTAGGTTATTTAGGTTCGATTCAAATTTATGTAATCGATTCTCTCTTCTTGAAACAAGACGACGACGACGATTAAGATGTTGAATTCGGGGAAGAGCCACCATCTTAAGAGCGTCCGCGCACGCGCACGCGCACGCGCACGCGCACGGAGGCACATTCATGCATGTGGACGCATATATACGACTAATCAACCCCTAAGGAACGTAGTCGAATGAAATAAAATAGAATTTGCTGTTTCTCGCTTGAACAGTGTTAGTGCATGCTTACGTCAGGAGGAATAAATTGATGGATGAATTACACACACACACACACAGACGCACACACATGCACAAACATATATATATATATAAATCTATACATATATAAATATATATATTAGACAAATGGGAGATGTCCTTTAGATGTCTTATTTTTTTAATAATGTATCTATATATAAATGTATGCATGAATATATATATATATATATATATATATATATATATATATATATATATATATATATATGTGTGTGTGTGTGCGTGTGTGTGTGTGTGTGTGTGTGCTTATATATCTACATATGCACACAAATCAAGCAGAGTATTGAAAAACATGTAAAAGGGATAATTCCAGTTTGTCTTCTACGTCTATATTAAAACCAATACATCAAATTCAATATATTTTCTTTCATGCGACATCTTATTCTCAATGTTCCTTTCTTTCTTTCTCTCTTTACATACACACACACATGCACACCCCATAAATATATATATATATATATATATATCTGTATGTGTGTGCGCGCGCGCGTGTGCGTGTATGTGTGTGTGTATAAAGGAGTGTTGAAAAGTTACCCCACTTCCAGAAATGAAACCAAATATCCAAAAAGTGCCATTTTACGTATATATATATATATATATATATATATATATATATATATATATATATATTATATTTATAAACACACACACACACACACAGGCACACACACACACACACACATATATATATATATATATATATATATATATATATATATACACACACCTAGTGAGGTGAAACCTAGGTAGGTTTGTCTGGCTCACTAGGTTTATCTAGGTCTGCTCTACAATTGTATTGAGCGCTTTTGTTAGTTGTTTACTCGTATCGGGGTTTTTTCTTTGGGCTTCAGACCTTCATCTGTGCGATTTTTTGTCGACAGTTCATGTTTGTAGCTCTTTCTTTTTTAAAACCTTTTTTCCTCGAGATTGATTTGATTATTAGCAAATCAAAAATTCAAAAAACTGAGGGTTTATATATATATATATATATATATATATATATATATATATATATATATATATATATATATATATATATATATAACATAATATAAAATAAAAACTCTCATGCCAGTATAAATATATAACTGCGCCAACATTACGGTAGCCAAATATTTATTAAGATTTAAATTACGCAGCGGTCAGTCTATACTGAGTGCCTGAACATTATGTTTTGCATAAAAAACTTCCAGTTGTGCTATCGGTGAGGAATATATATATATATATATATATATATATATATATATATATATATATATTTATATATATAGTTTAAAGTGAGTTAACTTTTCAACACCCCTTTGCATATATAATTTCCTTGAACAGAATACATATTCTGTTTAAGCTACTTGTTTGCAGTAATTACCATTGATATAAATTTAATGGAATAAAACATTATATATATATATATATATATATATATATATATATATATATATATATATATGTGTGTGTGTGTGTGTGTGTGTGTGTGTGTGTTAAGCTAATTGTAATGTACTTACTATTTATTGTAATTGAAGTAACTACTAATGACCAATTTTCTGAGGAAGCCTCATACCTCACTCTCTATTTCTCTATCTCCGTTCAGATCGATCGATCTATCTATCTATCTATCTATCTATCTATCTGTCTATATTTTCTCTATTTTTGTCACGTCTATCTTACTCTCTATTTATACTGTCTACTTTACATATCTATCTATTTTAGTTTGTTAATCTCTTTCTATGTATTTTGAGCCATTAATATCTATCTATCTATCTATCTATCTATCTATCTATCTATCTATCTATCTATCTATCTATCTATTTATTTATCTATCTACCCCAATTTTTTGTGCATATGAATGCACAAAATATTGTATAAATATTATACTGTCATGTATCATTGTATAAATATTATACTATCATGTACACGTATATATATATATATATATATATATATATATATATATATATATATATATATATATATATATATATATGAGCAGAAATTGTGTGCAAGATAATTAAACAAAACGATAATTATAGAAAATATTTATTAGAGAAGTTTCATTAAATCTGAAACATACATTGTTCTTATCCGGATCTTTGTGAACAATCGTAATTACGGCTCGAAATCGTAAGAAACATTTCGAATATTGTCGAGTTTGAATAAACTGAAAATGAAATTGATTGACTCGTAACCATTTGCCTAAAAGAATAACCACCACAACCTCCTCGACCGCCGACACCATCGCTCTTTCTACGATATAGATACTCATATGGAGAATTTAAGAGATGATTAGAAAATATCACGCATGAACATTATTATGTTTGTGCAGAGGTTAACTGAATTGTGAAACGAAATCCCTTCTTATAGTTCATCAGCGCAAATGGCATATATAATATAAAATATAATATAAATATTAACTGATATAATCCCACCCTCAAAATTATACTTGCTGCCCAAACGAAGATATTGTATAAAATAATTACAATGTTGTCCAACATTAATAGGTACATTAACCCCACCACCTGGTTTTGGTTTGTTTTGTTTTACGGCATATCAACACCTCAATGAGTTATTTAATGCCGACAACATTTTCATTGTTCGTTTTCCTGTTTGGTTTTCCTTCAAAAATCTATTTCTGGCAGTAGTTTTCCTTCGTAAAAATCTATTTCTGGCAATAATTTTTCCCTTGCAAAAATCTATTTATCGTAATAATTTTTCCCTTGAAAAAATCTATTTCTCTTAATAATTTTCCTTCGCTGGTAATTTTTTTTTTTCAAAAAATGTATCGCTGGTAATAATTTAAAAAAAAAAAAATTTCTGGTATTAAAACTTATTTTTACACTTTCATAGTGTTTTGGCCCCAGTTTGGGGGTTAACTATTTCCCATAGCTGAAAAAAAAATCCCTGGAATCGAAATTAGATGAAGTGGAAATCAAAAGAAATGGTAGCCTCTACAATGCTTCTTTTAACCGATCAAGTTGCTGGCAATAATCATTTGAAGTGATGATCCTTCGATATTGCACTAGGTTGTAATGAACGACACGTTTTATATTCCCCTAGACAGAAAGATAAGCTGTCTCTAGAAAGAGTTTTGAATTTGGTGTTAAAACTGATATCTCTTACTCCGGTGACATGCAAAACACATTTTTCATCATCTGTAACAATGCGATTGAAAAATGAAAGCTTGATATTCTTGGGTAACAAAAAAAAAAAAAAAAAAAAAAAAAGTCAAAAAAGAAAAGAAAGACTGACAGGGTGCCAACGGCTATACACAGAAAACTGTGCAAACGTCTTCTGTCCGACCAGAGAGACTCATGTTCTCAGCAGAAATGAAAGACTTCTTGGCAAATAAAAATCCCCGAATCCTTTGGGATTTCGTAAACAAAACAGATCACACCATCCAAATAGATTGTAAAGAAAAAAGAACTTGCTACAGCGTGGACTTAGGAAAGGGAAGTGAAAAACTGAAAAGAGAAATTCGAGGACCTTGCCCGAGAGCTGAAGAAAATATTGAATAAGTAGTTTAACATTTAGATCCGATATTTATAGGCACACTTTAAACCACGAGAAAAAAACCCCAAAAAACTGGAATCGATTTTCCATGTGCGATATTTTCTAATTGTCTCTTAAATTCTCCATACAAACTGGAAGAGGAATATTTGATTATGTCTAGTGCGTGTAGTTTCTGGTGTCTGCGAACATACTGTGGAAGGTGCTGGAGATTTAAAATATGGGGATGATCGGACATTCGCTGTGAACAGGGAAATACATGAAATAAAATAATAATAATAATAATAATAATAATCGACTACATAATAAAAAGGACAAGGAACAGAGAAGAAGAAGCATGTGGAAGTAAGGGGAAAATGCGAAGAAAAGGAAAAAGAAAAGAGGAAGGATAAGAATATGAAAGGAAGATTAGAATGTAAAAGAAGAAGAAGAAGAAGAAGAAGAAGGAGGAGGAGGAGGAGGAGGAGGAAAAATGTGGAGGAGGTTGGGAAGTATGCTGTAAATATGGCATCAATGTGAAAGTGAAATACTATGAATGTCAACCGGAAGCAGTATTAGAAAATGACAATCACAAGGAATTATGGGATGTCTCAGTCCAAACAGTTCCTGTCATTGGAAAATACAAGGAGCTGGCTAGGGATTTAAAGAAGCTATAGGGATAACGGCCATATCACGTTGAAATATTGGTTCCTTACGATCACCGAAGTTAAGCAACGTCGAACCTAATCAGTACCTAGATAGGTAAATACCAAGCACTCTAAGCTAGGGATGTACGGATAATGACTCGGAATTGTTAATCGCATAGCCGATGTCCAGTTTCCTTGGGGGTTCATTATATATATTTACGCGCAAATACACTAGGAAAGGGTATGAATCTTCTCCCCCAGCCATGGGTTAATTAGTAAAACTTGTTTCACTAAATCATTATTATTTCCCCCAAAAGAATTCTTACAATCAAAAATATTTCCTTTCTTTAAATAACCAGCAAATGGTTGATAAGCCTAACCAATCACTCAATCAAAGAAACTATAATACATGACTATTCAGTTAAAGAAATTCTTGTAATAATTGAACACCAAGCAACTTGGAGCAGTGCTTATAGAAAATTGAAATTGAGGCCAAGATTGTAGACCTCCATAAAAATTTCATCATTTTACCTACGAAGATTTTCCGAGAGGTCTTTTAGTTTTGTGTAGTCTTGTTGACTTTATAACTCAAGAACATAATTTCCATTGACAATGTGCGATAAAAACATAATAATCAAACCATACAACAATTATCAATATGTATATATTTATATATTTCCT